AAAAGGGCTCGTAGAGACACGTGATGGAAACAAGAGGGAGCAATGTAACTGCGTGCATTCACATCAGTAGGATACAAAATACATAGGATGAACCTGAACGGGGGTGAAACGTGATCATGAAACTGCATTTTATCTTACAGGTGCCGCTTACAGATGAAGAGAAACCACGAAAATGATTGGGTGGGTGTATTACAAACGCACAGTTCTGATCGTTCCGTTTCAGCTAGCAACAAACCACGTGACAGCGCACAGTCCTAATTCGTGAAGACCTCTTTGTTGAGGCTGTTCACCGCCAAAACTCCATTCACTGTTTGCGCACTGCAGCATCTTTTCGAGATCAAAAGCAGCAATGCCTGCATCCCTCTGGTCGGGGCGAAGAACCACCTCCTGGTTGTGCCATCCGTGTAGCCTGGACGTCAGTCTGGGTGAGTTAGGATTGCCGCAACTCCAGACTGGGCCAACTATCCTGTTTCGTTTCAATGTGCTGATTGGTTTCAACAATGCAATACAATATAAATCATCTGATGCATTCGCACCGGTACATAAGACAGAATTGTGGGGCTCATGTGTGAGAAATGTGGCAAGTGCTGCAACTCGAATGTTGTGTTGAGTTTGTTAGCACACCATGGAGTTGATGACGACAAAAGTGTTTGTACGAACATGGTAGCCCATACGGACTGAAGTGATTGTCCCCGCTTTTTTCCGACGGAGACCGCCGTGATTTGACGTTGCCGGCACACAAAACCCACCCAGCATAATAAAAATAAGCTTGATCGAGTAAACCATCCCGGCGTCCACTGGTCCTAACAAGAATCACAATCACACCCTCGCATGGCTAACAATTTACATCCATCATGTGATGTCCTGTCGTCCTGTCTCCACGCCTCCACAAACCTGGATATCTGTTTTTCGGCGTCAGCTAGCCCATCGGATGCCGGCCAACAGAAAGCAGATCCACCGCGCCAACTACGCCGCCATCCAGATGGAGAGATGCAGCGGTTGCGGTGCTCGATGTGTTCTGGAAGGATCTATACGAAGGCAACTGCGGCTTACCTCTGGACGCCTAGCAGCATTGGGATAGGTTCTTTCACATCCACAACACGCAGATAGCCGGCCAAGTTGGGTGCTATTACCAACTGAATGGCGTTTGATCGAGTCAATTACAAAATAGGAAGTTGGCCCTACTATCTGTGTTATGGGCCATTCGTCCGCTGGTCTGGACAAGGTCGTACCCAGAATGCTTCGCCAGTGTGATGCTAAGGCGCTCGCTGGGTATTTCAACTTACTTTAATTATCTGGGGTTTTGTCTCTCATATCTGTGTCGTGCTCGTAATACCTTCGTTCCGAAGGTTCCAAATCCGAATTCACTGGACCAACTGAGATCGATCTCCGTGCCATGCATTCTTGTCCAGTGCCTTCATAAGGATCCTGCTGATAGTTGGATCGGTAGATTGCAACTGCCCTCACACTTGTTTGCATTTCTACATTGGTATTACACACCCTGCCTCTTCACCCTTCACTGACTTCTTCTAACGTCAAATTGGGTTTGTTGATATCTTGCAAGCGTTTGATTCGGTTTCGCATGAAAAATTCAGCGTGCTTCATTTCGGCGGTTGCTTGCATCCAGCGGCAAAAACCAAGTGCTAGTCCAACACGTCTCCTTTGGTGTGTTTCACATGTGCTTAATGAATAAGTCGTGGTGGTGTCAATTCAGGGAGCTAACTGGCATATAATAACCGTCAGCACAAGATTACAAGTCTTCGCGAACAATCTTCTTTACAGTGCATCAACTTTCACGGTAAATGCTCGAAGGCCAGAAGTTGAGCTGCATTTTATCCCTGCCAGTAAATCCTACTGGCGGTCGGATTAAACCCTGTTCAATCCGAGTGATGATTTATATTGATGAGTTGGTATGAAATGCGATACCATTGAGACGTTGATACCTCTGCTGGGGGAGGCATGCAAACAGTATGGTTACTTCCTGTGCGTCTCTTGAAAATTTGTGGAGTCGCTTGGTAGCATTTGATTGCGTTTGAGTAACAGTCAACGAATATCCGGGAAAGTGCAGGAAGAAGCGTTCAAGCGAGGATAGGTGTGCAGTTTTTGTAAATAAGAGACATATGAGAGTTTTGTTTTCTGTCCAATAGTCTGTAACTGGTTAGTTGGCATTTCCCAACACACAACTCCGCAGCGAGGGTCTTCTTCATTTCAACAGTAGCTGCTTTATTAAAACACGTTTGGTACGGTTGATTAGATGGTCCTGGTAGGCCGGTTAAACGCCAGCAATTTTCAAACTCAGAACTCATTGATACACGGAGGAATGCCCTTCGGGGTAAAGATGTTTCCTAGCAAAGATCAAGTAAACAGTCACAAACTATTGGACGTCCCATATGCGCCTTGTTTCTAGAAATCGACCATTCTCACGCGTCTTCCTGAAGTTTGATGGATATTTACTGACTACAACGCAACTGCAAACGAACACCGCCGAGCAGTTCCACAAGTTCCATAATAAACCCCACCTTCCAATAGACGCGAGGCGGAATTCCCAGAAAGCCACATCAGTTGCCTCATCAGTAACATCCGCCGTTGCACCGGTAATTAGAGGAGTTAGGCAGGTCGGCTGTACATCAGTGACTTCCGAACTCACTAAAGCAAGTGATGAAATATTTATACGTTTCGGACTGCCAGATCTACCACATCTCCCCCGGAAGGTCCAAGCATGTATACACGCTAATCATTATGTGACCACCACCAGATAGTTACGAAGCCCAGCTGCCCTCTCGGTACGTTCGGAACAACCATGGTTTTTTCGGTAGTTATCAAAACTTTCGAATCATTTAAACTGTTATATGCATATGTTCGTCGACTGCAAATTGGAGCAAGTGTGAATGGTTCTATGCAAACAAGTGTCTTGCACCCCGCATCTTTGCACTCGATTCATCGAGTCTAAAAATCTCACAACAGGACAAGTATTCGGATTGGTGCTCGTGTACACAATATGTTTTTGAAGGATTTGCAATCTGCTTTATTCTAAGTTATTTCGTATGCGTGTAGACAAAAGCCTGCGAACCCATGTGCTGGTACGGGATGTTCCAAGACGTGCGTCGCCTGCCGTTTGAAGTACTTGTACCACAATGGATAAGAGTAGAGATGGACTGCTGGATGGATTGCTAACTGGGCTGCGTGATCATTTTATGGCTATAGGTTCCGGTTTGCAAATGCATTTTGGCGGAGTTGGAACCTGCTAATAGGGTAGATCAGAGGGGTTGTGGCAAGTTCAAATGCTATCAACATCCGCCCGACGTTGACAGTTTTTACAACGTTTGTTATGCATACAGCCGTACAGCATTTGTGTTTCGAGTGAAAGGGTTTCAATTCACACTGTTGCCTATATCAAAATAACTCGCTGTGATTTTGGAAACACCGTTTTGCAATTGACGATACTGTTTGAAAGCCCCAGTCAAAAAGTGGTTCGCCACAGATATTTGTGACACGGAATATGTCGAGCAAAATGTAAGATTGCAATTGAAATGGAAGTGGTCCCGGATTAGTCGCTATCGAATCACGGATAGTCGGTACTCCATCTCCAGAGCAGCCTCTCTCACGCAGATCCGGGCACAACTGTCGACTCAACTAATGCCAACCATGCAGAAACGACACGTAAACCATTAGGAGTAGCCGATGAACTGCTCTTTAGGTTGTCTATATTGCCGCAACGTAACACACCTTTAATTCCCAAGCCACTGATTATACAAGCCTCCTTGTGCGATTTGGCCTATTCATCCTTGTTATTCACCGGTATGAGAAGAGCAGTTCGTTTTGGAAGACTAGGTTCTCTGTCTGGAAAGATAGACCATCTGGAAGTTTGGGACCTTGTAGCACTGAATGATTCCTGTAAAGTCAACTGAGATTGAAAATACTTTTGGACAACTTATGAGATCTAAGGGACAGCAAATTGTAGGGAACGAAAACGTGTTTAGAATTGAAAGGCAGTTCAGAGGATTTATTTATTTATTTATTCTTTCAAGCTACCGTTAATGTGGTCGTGGCGCAGGGTGCAGGTTAAGTAGGCTAACACCGAGGACATAGCAGTGTTTAAAAATCCAGATGCGGAGCACACCTGCATACGGCTTTGTGTTGATGCATACTGTCAGTACATACAAGCGTTGTAAGCTTTCGTCAAATGAACGGTGCTCAGCACAGGAGCCGACTGCTAATAGCAGATGAATCACGCATTTGGAGGAAACAAGCAGCTAGTGTCCTTCGTTCTTTGCGGTAAATTGTGGCAGTCGTTTCGATCGCTCCGCAAATGCAAGAAAGTTACTGGTTCGTCGTTCGTCGCCCAGGTGGTAAAGCCCTCCTTCCTCTTAAAACAGAATACATTCCTCCATCCAAGTTTGATAATCCGGTTGTTCCTAATGGGAGCAACTGGAGCATAGACAAACGTCGCATTTTACATGTCAGGGGTCCACAACGCGGCAGATCCACGAGAAATTAAACACCATATCACGCCGCAGCCCGCTCCCCTAGTGCTTTGCTGCCTAGATGTATTGCAAAACATTTGTGCATTGTCTGCTCACAAAATTCGATCAAAGCGAAACAATGTATTGTCTCCTGGAGACCGCCCGACTTGTTTGGATTTATTTTAAGAGGTAATCGTTTTACAACTGATATCTTTTGTTCATATGTTTGAACAAAGTATTCACGGTAGTGCATTTTGCCTTGATTGATCTTCAAGCGTGTGTTTATGATTGCGATCCCTTCAGTGTTCAACTTGACTGTCCCATAAACGTCAGGACCAAGCCTTCGTTTGTTATCGTTCATTTCCGTTCTCTGCAAGACAACTAGCAAGCCATATGCTGATCAAATCAGGTTTGGTCAAAAATCGGTTTTCACGGATAAGCATGTGGCGTAAAACCTTGGCGAAACGGATGTTTAAATTGAACCGAGTAAAGAAACCTCAAGGCGATTTTGTGAATCGTAATTTTGTTGAAGTTGTGAAGCTTCCATTGCCAGAAGCAGGTTGACGAAGTAATTGATGCACTTATATTAAAGCTGTTGGTATTCTACTCATACTGGGTTAACCATGACTCTAGCATCGACCGTCTGCGCACTGAATAACCTACCAATAGAAGTCTATCAAATCAGGTTTGGTTAATCGCCCGCCAGATTTATCTGGAGCACGCTTTACAACAAGTTGGAGTGAAATCCAACCAGCTACCGTTTATTTGAATTCACATCCTACTTTGCATGCAAAATCATATCACTTATGAAGGCTAAACACACACTAAATGGGAAGACTTTGGATAGTAGTTTACTCAGAAAGTCAGCTCATAATGCGCTATTCGGTGGAATTGGCTGAAGTCATCCAAGTATAAGTAGAAAGCCGCGGTGAAGAGCGTGCGTTGTATCTAGTTTCCATGTTTCATCTATTTTTCAAATGTACCATGAATTTTCCAACCCGACTAATCATTTTGAAGATCTAAAGGACTAGTTTCTCGGACACGTTAACCGCACTGAACTGTAGACAACGGAAATACTGTACAATGCATCCGGGCACAAGATTACGCAAACAAGCGGTGCCGCAGTTTAATGCACGGAGTGAAGTCCACTGAAGTCGTACAACCTGTGTTCACATATGTTGCATATGCCATGAAAAAGGACTACAAATGCAGAGCAATTACCCGGCAGTATACCATGGACTATTTATCCAACACAGCTAGGAATTTTGGTTTTATCATGTCCGGCTGGAAAATAGGTCCTTGTTAGTGAGTGATACTTGGTGAGAAAAGTTGTCAACGGACAGTCCGTCACTGACAAAGTGCTGCTCGGTCAATTATGCCGGTGCGTGTTATTTACCGCATAGAAAAACCAACCAGTTTGTCGTTGACTCGCTTCACACGAATAAAAAAGAGAGGATTGAAATTTTGCATCCGATGTGAAAGACGGAATTTACAAATTATGAAACCGCGCAAATTTATCTATACCACAAGCGATCAGGATGAGCAAAGGGAACAACAATTCGCTACACTAAAGTTTTATTTCTGTGCGGTCGTAAGGATAATCGGTTTGAACTCCTTGAAGCAATCAGATTCTGCGCTGACCGGCGTTCGTTCGGATGTTGTGCCACCTCGACTTACTTGGCCGCAATTTATCATGATAGTTTGCCTCTTAAATGGAGGCTGTGAAACAACAGAGCACTTAGTACCATTACCAGGAAAACCTCGAAGAAAGTCCCCTGAATGAAACGGTATTATTAGTGTCTACACTTCTGGACAAAGTAAGGTGCAATATTCCGCAAACAAGACTCATGTTGCCATGTTTGAAAATTGGGACGCTTTGATCTAAACAGATGAACTTGTAAGCGAAATGGTTCCAGCTTTGCACATCGGCGATTCCGTAGAGATAGTCACTGAATGCAGGCTAAAAATCGGGGTGACTTCAATACACGGCCCAGATGACATACATTGTCGATATCAAAGTTTGTTCGAGTATCATTGTAAACATACACCTATATTTATCGGTAAGGTAAAACTTTTTGGGACGGCCAGCATTATGTCATTCGAAACTTAACAGTTTGTTTAGAAAAGTTTAAGGACACCTTCCATCTAATCTCTCTGTGATCAATTGAAAGTCACGTATATCTTTAGCACCACAAGTCTCTCGGAATAAATCACTGCCAGGATTCTTTCTCCTATGAGTAAAAGGCACATATTCGTTTGTGCAGAATCTCTAAGCCCTGTACCACTGATGCACTCCGATACAGTGATCCTTTGCTATAGAGGTGGCGCAGGTGATTCCTTGGTTTGTCCGCTCAGCTAGGAAATTTGATTGCAACCGTTTCCGCACCAATCGAGGTGACATCATCAGTGCGTTTTTAGGGAGCGCCGTGGTGCGTAGCCACGGGACAAAGTAGTAAATCAGTAATCAGTGGATAGACAAATAATTTAATAATTTGGAAACTTTTCGGACCCATCGAGAATTCATCTTTGAGAAAAGTTCGCCAAATAAATTAAACAAAGTTGCCAGCGGCACAGATGACACAGCTTTGAACCCACTCAGCATCATCATTGTCAGCTGCAAGAACCGCATACTTGTCGTACAGTGTGGTTGTAGCTGTCACAATTTCGTTCACTGATGATTCGGGGAGGTAGGGTTGATAGCTGTGCATTGGAGGCGGGAGCTTATAAATTCGTGCGTAAATACGGTACTGTCAGTGGACTATTAAGTGGGGGGTGGCTTGGATTTACGAGTGCCATTGATGGCGCGACCGGGCCATGTCTGACAGTGTCTCTAACCACTGATGTGGACCGTCTCGGGGTCCCCATTCAGGAAGACGGTAATGACCAGGACAGCTGAGTTTGCTGGTAGTTGCTTTTATACTTCGCTGTCAAGTCATTTTTGACCGACTCTGGCTCGGTTCCACCTTTCACGTGGTTGTATGTAAAGAATTCTTTGAGGAAGTCGGTCGACTGGCTTACGCAGCATGTGGCTAAACAACTGCAACCTATGCGGTGTGATCAGTTCATCTATCGAGAGTGAGTTATTTCTCCTGAATACCATTCGACACATTTCAGCATTGCTGATCCGGTCTTCCCACCATATTCGGTCAATGCTCCAAAGACATCGATGGTCGAACACTGAAAGCATTTCGACGTCCTCGGAGAGAGCTTTTATGTCAAAGACTATGGATTGTTTATCAATCCCCTTAAGAATTTAGTGAGCTCATTTGGGATAAATTATTGCTTCTTGACAAAGTCGGTCCTAAATGTGCGTACAAGCAATGTTTCAATGATACCATTCCGTTTGTCCTAGCATATTCAAATAAGTACACCTCCAAAATACTGTAACTGTGTGCGGTTAGTTTAGTTATTTCCTATTAGGCTGGAGCTGAATTGTTTGGTTATCGCCATCATTTCTCTGATTATCTGGACACCGGTTCCATCGTTGTGGAAAGTGACCACTTCAAAACTACTTTGTGAAATTTTCCCTTGAATCTCAACTTTACAGGGCCGGTGGGATTTCTTTTGGCCGCTTGAGAACCATGAAACCAAGGACAAATTATTTCCAATCCATTAGTATAACAGCACTATGCATAGTAATTCCCTTCTCTGTCACGTGCAACGTATTACCATAGTTTTTTTACATGTGCCCATAAAGTCCATGCTCATCTTCACTTTGTTAAGTAAGACAACAGCCACGAAACGGCAGTACAGTTTTTATTTAAGTCTGACCGATAAAACAGGATGCTAAATAAAAAAGACAAATGAACCGGACAAATTATGTCAGACATGCTCTGCTGCTCTTCACATTACCGCAACGTAATTCGGTGACCGCCTGAGGAGTAATTATAGCTGCCATGTGTTTACCAGCACGCGCAAGGTATACAATTGAAGTCATGCTCTACACAAATGCAGAGCGCATAATGTTGACAGTTAAGCTGTGGCTGGGTTGCTTCTTTAACTTGGTCAATTGCAGCTTTTTGAGTGAATAAAAGCCCCACCCTTTGTCACGTTGCTGCCAAACATTCCCATCCTTAAGGTATGCAAGATTTAAAAGCCTGCTTTGCAAAATTTTAACGAAGTTGGCTTTACTTGTTTGAATGAATTAGTAGAGATGCAAAATGTGTTTAAATGGCGCCTGTTTGTTTTGTTTTGTTTCGCTTTCATTTCACATTCTTTTTAAATGAAACTGAGCTATTACTGAAACATTTTTTGTACTGACACCTGCGTATTTATACTACGTAGTGCGCAAAATGAACAGCGAAAGCCAGTGCAAGCTAGCTTGGATGAAGGCACAAATAATTCAGCAATGCTCGGATTTAGAAACTCCGTCTACTATCCAAACCATAGCGTGCTTTTGTGTTGTGCAATCAAATGTGTTTGGCTTTCCTTGCTGACTTTTTGTCAAAAAGGTGACAACACCTAAAGCGATGCTACACTAGCACAAAATGATAAGAAATATGCCATGACCTTCATTGCTTCCCGTCATATTACAAAATTAATCGATACTCGTCCAGCTGTAGCACCCTTTCGGCGCCTAACTGTCATGCTACCCAAAGGAAGCACGAGGGCTGGGATACTGCCAGGTTGCTCAAGTCTAGACAGGAGAATTCGAGAGGCAGATATCGGGTTCGAACCACGGACCTTCTAGTCTGTAAATTCGTGCTCTAACCACTGAGCCATCCCGTCCCCGATCAGGTCAAACTCAGAATCACGCTTGAAGGTTGATGAATAAAACGCATTTTAGCTACTGCTAGGCATGTCACTATTGTGAACAGAAAACAGTTGGTTGCAACTGTTTACGCTCACCTGCCTTGATTCATTAGCTCTGGTGCCTACCGAAAATGCTTCCATCAAAAGAGGTTTGACGGTTAATTTTCCAAAGCGTACAGCCAAACCGTGGAATGCTGCTGCTGTTCCGAACTTTCAATAAGAGCGGTGTGTGTGTGTGTTTGACATCCGTAGCTTTCCATATTATGAACACAACTGTTCACCGTTACACACAGCGGCCAAACAGGAGCAAAACACTCAATTTGATTTTACGATGGTATTCAGTAGGTTTCACTTAGAATGCCAGTGGTATTTGTTGATTCTTGACGTTGTATTGCCTGAAGCCACAGCAGATATCATTGTATACTTCGGTAGGAATCTGAGCAGTAAAGGATTCTCACTTGTTTAGACATCACTGTAAGCCAGCTACGGCACACAACTGTTTGTGAAATTAACGAATAGACATTTGTCCCTGCTTAGTGCGTGTTCAACCGGTTGCGGTGTCTGACTGCACACTACTGACCTGCGGAGGATTATCCCGGATTAGCCCTTGTCTGACTTGCCAATATAGAGTAGCTAGGCGGACAAAAGAAATGTTAGGAAAACGTGCAGTCGTTCACTGGTATCTAGTTGGAGAAGAAATACATTCTTTATGTATTTTTGTACTCATGTGCTTCGGACTTTTATTACCCGGTTTTTATATTTCGCGCACGTTTTGCCGTCTCGTATGGATTTTTTAATACAAGTGTAGTCGCCGGTTACGGACATGTTGGAACGGATCAGCAGCGCCATACTGCTAAGCGCCATTATCTAACGATGAATAATATCACAAATCTGACCAAACGTAATTGCCTTTAAGACGCAATGCGATGCAGCAAAAGTGCCACAAACACGCGTTCTAATTGTTTTCTGCCTCAAAGTCCTGAGAAAACCACATACCCAGTCTCCGGTAGCATACTTCATATAGCCAGCTCTTTTTGTACGACTTAAAATATTTGATGCATGCAATGGAATGCTCTATTACATGGAACAGTTTAATATCCGCGTGAACGTTAATACTTGCCAACTTCCAAAAATAAGAATCCAAGTGCATCTTTTTCACGTAATATGGTGCACAAAAACAGGGAATGAAGCCCCTCATTCAAAAACAAAATGAGGAAACATTTCACAGATTCCAGAGGTATTTTGGTCGATATGCCTATTTTCCCAAAGGTGAACGAGGAAAACACAAATGTAAGTATCCAGTTTGGCAACTTGTCATTAAATCCTGTTAGATACGGTATTTCTATACTGGCACCCCAAAGAAAAAGCTTATAAACTTTCCAATAAACCTTTGGCTTTGAAACCATTCAGCGAATCATCGCGCGTGATGTGTTTATTGACCTGGAAACTGTGTGAATACCATACATCACTGTAAGATTTCTACGATACTAAATAAACTCGTAGGTTATTTTGCTTTGTGTGACACACATTTATCAAAATTCTAAGTGTACGAGTACGGACGACAATGTAAGAAAGCGCATTTGCTGAATTACTGGCATGTTATTGCATTTTGACGATATTTCACCACAGCGCAATATCAAAATTCCGGTATACTCATTTCGTTGTAAGTAGTTGAAACAACATACGTATCCTCACTGGTTTATTCAAAACCAGCTATTCATGTAAGAATGTCAACGGGTGAATATTAACAAGTGGCTTTGGCGACGTTGCGTTTCTTTTATGTTTTGTACAGTCATACCCACTTCCTTTTTTGTTGTTGCTTTCGTCAAAAGTATTAGCGGAAAAAGAACTCGCATGTTGCACGAGGGATGGGACAATGTCAGGTTGCCCAAGCCTAGGCAGGGGAAGTCGAGATGCAGAGGTCGGGTTTGAACCACAGGACTTGCCGTCGGTAAACTCGCCCTCTAACCACTGAGTCATCTCACATCCATTTCGTCCTTTCTTTTGGCCTGCCTGGTGAGTCCACTACGGAAAGGGGGATGCGCTGGATTCAAGGTTTGCTCTTACTAGAACTCATTGGAACTGCATATCCCAAGCCGTGCTGGGATTTAAAACCCGAAAATATTTTGCCGCTACTCCACCAGCATACGCTTGGGATATTTGATTTTTCGCGTCTGAACAAACGTTTGTGTAACCAACGTACATTGAGTCTCGGCTGAAATTGACCTCTGTACGCTGGCAGTTAGACACGTCGAAAATGCTCTATGTATAGATGTATAGATGTATGTATACATGTATGTATGTATGTATGTATAGATGTATGATGATTCCCGAGAATTACCAAACGTGCGTAACCACCATGCCATCCGGAGGAAGAACGAGGGCCGCGATACTGCCAGGTTGCTCAAACCTATACACGTATAGTATAGTATAGTATAGTATAATATGGACGAATGAATATCGTATATTTTCGTATATCGTGGGCGTACTATATATAGCATCGTAAAATAAAAGCATAGAAAAGAAAA